CCACTTATCAATATAGCATTCTGACTCATCAAACTCATTATTTATCACAGTTTCATCTTTTTCAATTTTAATCAATTCTTCTATAAGTCTGTTTTATTTCAATCATAGGTTTCGCTTTATCCTCAACTAATTTAGGTTTCGAAATTTTTCCGTCTAAAGATAAATCATTTTCATTCTTCTCAAAATCATTTAAAGCTTTTGTAAACAATCTCCTAAATTGAGATCGTCTGCACTTCAAAACATCCATTATAAATAAACGAAAGAATTCTACTTACGGATAACAGTCAAGTCAGCGGACGCCAAATGTTCAAAAATTCTCACCAAATTTGTTACAAGAACTATTTATTATACGAAAATAACTATCTATATCTCTTCAGTTATTTAAGACTCTACAATAATTAAATAGTTCTTTTATTTATACTCTCAAATGATGAAAACAAAAGTTACCACATCATAGTATGTTGCCATTCTCTGAAACATAAACCGTTACAAAACATAGATAATAATAATATGAATAGATAATGAATAAAAAAACCTATAGAGTAAAGAAAACAATTACATCTGCTTGAAGCTCGTGCAATATTACTCAGAAGCTGCAGTTACAAAAAAATATAAACAAAAAAAATATTGTTCAGCGTTTACAGCTGACATTGAACAAGCATTTTTTCAGATTTCTCTTGCTGATGAAGACAGAAACTCAGTCAAGTTTCTATGGAATGATGATGAATTAAATGGAACCAAAATAAAAGCTCTTCGTATGGAAAGGGTAATTTTTGGGGCAACATCTAGTCCGTTTCTTCTCAGAGAAACTCTTACTGTACACGCTGACAAATACAAGTCACAGTATACGAACGTATTTTCCATGCTAACTGAAAATATGTATGTTGACAACTTAATCACTGGAGCAGATGAAGAATCAGAAGCATTTGAGGAATCAGAACATATTAAACGCATACTGAAAGAAGGTGGATTTAACATGCGGAAATGGAAAATGAATGAAATTAATTTACAAAGGGTATGGAATGAAGAAAGATTTTTCACACGATTTGACTTGTTCTAAAGTATTGGGGTACATATGGAACAGGCCAAATTTTTGATAGAAATTGAAGATTTGGTAAAAGATGCCAAAAGGATAGATAACATATCCACTAAAAGGGAAATCTTGAGATTTGTAGGATGTTTCTTTGATCCACTGGGGTTTTTAAATCCATACACCATTCGAGTTAGGATTTTATTGCAAGATTCATGGGAACAAAAGATAGCATGGGACACTGAAATACCAGAAAATCTCAGAAAGAATTGGCAAAGCTGGTGTGATGAATTAGCTCATATTTCTAGTTTGGAAATACCAAGACATCAGTTTACAGGTGCTGGGAAAAGGGATAAAAAAGGATAGTCTACAGTTACACTGTTTCACAGATGCGAGTCAGAAAGGCCTACGGGGCTGCTCTGTATTTTCGTTATTCGAAAAATGGAGTCATTCATACAAGCTTCATTACATGAAAATCACGAGTAGCACCTTTGAAAAAATTATCACTTCCCAGATTGGAATTGATGGGTGCTTTGATAGGCTCCCGCTTGTCAAAATATATCCAAAAGAAACTTCAGGACATTGATTTAACTGTATATATGTGGACTGATTCTAGTATAACGTTACACTGGATTCGAAGTGATGTGAAAAGATGGAAGCCATTCGTTCAGAACAGAGTGAAGGAAATACAGAAGAATTCAGATGTCTTGAACTGGAGATATACGACTGGTGAACACAATCCAGCTGATTTGCTAACTAGAGGTGAAAATGTCAAACATCTGAAGCAGAATAGCATATGGTGAGAAGGGCCCACGTGGTTAAAAGAAGAATGGAACACTGGCCAAAACCGAATTTATGTTCCACAAAGAACATTAAAGGTTCCAACAAGGAACTAAGAAAAACATGGATGGAAGTTTTTGTAAATTCATGCGTTACCGAACCTTCCGAAGATTTATTTAAAACCCAAAATTACAGCAATTTAAAGTATTACTGCGTGGTGCTTAAGGTTCATCAACAATGTTAAAAATACATCAAAATTGTCAGGATGTTTCCAGGTTACTGAATTGGAAATAACAGAAACTTACTGGATCAAACATGTTCAGGAGCGAAATTTCACAAATGAAATACGGGCATTGAAGAACAACGAGGAATTAAATTCAGAATCAAAACTTAAGTCCCTCAATCCATTTCTAGACAAAAGTGGTGTAATTCGTGTTGGTGGACAATTAGAAAATTCAAATTTGGATTATAAACAAGCACATCCAATCGTATTACCTGACAGAGATCATTTGACTGATCTCATTATTCTTCACAATCATCAGGTGGTAGGGCACGGAGGAATAGCAGATACTTTAAATCAGATAAGAGAGAAATTTTGGTTGCTGAAGGCTCGTAAGAAAATTAAAAGTGTTCTGTACAATTGCAATATCTGCAAAATATTTCGAACGAAACCTGTCATGCCAGATATGGCACCTCTCCCACCAGACAGATGACGAGAAGCTTTTCCGTTTGAAAACTCCGGGATAGATTACGTGGGTCCACTGTACATCAAAAGTGGAAAAGAATTATCTAACATACGTTTTACTGTTTACCTGCGCTGTAACTAGAGCCATGCATTTAGAACTTATAGCTGACCTTTCCACAGAAAATTTTTTGCTTGCATTTAGACAGTTCATAGCCAGAAGAGGTTTGTCCCGAATAGTGTATACCAATAACGCCAAAACCTTTAAAAGAGCGAAAAAAGAATTAGAGCTATTAAACGAGGTGATGAAAAGCAATAAAGTTCAAGACAAGTTCTCTAAGCAAGGAATCAAATGGAAATTTATAGTTGAGAGGGCGGCATGGTGGGGAGGCTTTTGGGAGCGTATGGTTCAGTCTCTGAAAGCTGTTCTGAAGAGAATCTTAGGAAAATCATCCTTGACATTCAGGAAATTAGAGACAGTCATAACAGAGAAGTGGATAGCAGAAGCTACTGAACTCCAGACCTTTAACATTTACATACTCGGATCTAGGAGAGCCAGAATCTTTGCCCCCTGGTCACTTCTTAACAGGAAGATGGTTACTATCATTGCCGCAAGGAAGTTCTAAATTAACTTTAACAAAGGAGAGTCTTACACGTTGATTTAGACATCAACAGATACTGGTAGAAAGAATCTGGTGAAAATGGAGGCAGGATTATTTGATTAATTTAAAATCTGCTCATCATTCCAAACTAGCGAAAACAGGGAACTTGTTTGAAAAAAGGAATTATTGTATTAGTGCATGAAGATAAAATTCCAAGGCTGATGTGGAAGATGGGCATCATAATGGAAATCTTTCCTGAAAGAGATAGCAAGGTGAGAGCCTGTGCCGTCCACTTGCCCAATGGCCATACGATTAAAAGACCAGTGCAACTATTACATCCAGTGGAGCTGAAATGTAATAAGGACAATTACAGCAATTGTCCTTCCGGGCTAAAGGATGTTGCAACTCAACTCTTGCTGAGACCCGATGGCTGAGTGATGTCATCTCGAACTATGAACTTTCGTTTAGAGATCGCACAAGAACTTGGAGCGGAGAAGTCGCACGCTGTGTCGTGCCACACTTAAACACTTTTCTTTATGTAAATATTCTGTTACCCGTTTGCGTCTTCATTAAATATGTTTGTGTAAAGAAAGTATTTATTATTTATGGATTTTGCAGATAGAGATGCACAGACAAGATCAATTCAACCAGTGGCCCTGGCAGAACCCATTGGGACAAGGTAAGCAGTTTTGTTTTACATTGATTAATTAGTTAGAAATAATGATAACGATAAGGAAAATAAATAATAACACTTCATATTAAGACCCATTTTCAGTTCAGTATCACAATATGTATTTTGAACATCTCCCTGCACTTTATTAATAATCACATGTACATAAAATTCTTTTTAAATTATACATCTCTTTCTCTGTTACAAATGTATATTAATACAGTCAAAAGTCGTTAATCCGGACTCGTCGGGACTTCGGCGATTCCGGATTATAGATCATCAGTTTAAATCTGGTAAGATGGGATGCAGAAATTATAAAATTAAAAATATGAAACCATAATTTATGAAATAAAGAACAATTATGATCTAAAGAGTATCAAAATTTACCAAAAAAAAAAAAAAAAAAAAAAAAAAAGAGCTTAGTATTTATTTGTTTACTTTATTACACATTTCTTTCAAGTTACAAAGTTCTGCAGTTTAAGTCCTATAATTGCTGTGTCGAGAATACCGAATAATTTGTCAATCGAAATTTTTTCGTTTTCAATAACCTCTGTGTCACTTTCTTCACTATCGGAAGCGAATCATAATGACGAGGAATTTGATTTAAATCATATCAAAGACGGAGTACATCGAGATGAAATACTACATTTAGTAAGGAATTATAAGCCAAATAAAATAAAAACATCTGCCGTGAAGATAAGGATAGTGCTGACAGATCAATTTCCAATTCATCGTGCGCTGCTGCGTTAAAGATAAACAAAATTTAGATAAACAAACGTTAAGGATATGCCTTTATCCATTTTTTGCAGCAATTCCACTTTTTGTTTAATGGACTTCGAAACAAAGCTCTATATAAACACCATAAATATATATAAATTAATGCTCCGATAAAATGTATAATACTGATTATATAACAAAATATAATATAAATATAAATTATCAATGCAAATAAAGATGTGTAATAATAACTATATAATATTAATTATTATATAGTTACTATTACACATCTATTACCTGTTAATTCCCATTTTACAGTAATACTTTTAATAATTTTTCTGATGGAGGAAAAATGCATAAAGTTTTTTTGGAATTTCAAAGTTTTGCGTAAATTTCTTGTAATGCTACTTTTAATAGTTTTTAAATATTCAATATTACTAAGAATTTTATTGATAAAATGTCCAATGACTTTCAATGACAATGGAATAATATTGAAAAATCAAGCAGTACCACAACAAATACAAAAAAATGAAACTTTAATTGATTTAGAACAGACTTTCTTCTTTTTTTAAATATGATACGAAAAACAAAAAGTTAAACATTCTTGCATAAATTATTTACATTGATCTAAAAGTGTATATTTACAAACAGCATAAAATGTTCACAACAATATGAAATTCCAATTCAATTCACCATTCAATACTTCCAAATCTGCGAACAACTTTTTCTTGATCACTCAAATCCTTTTGCACTTTTTTCCTCATGTAGAAAATGGGGCAATCTCGACTAGAAACACATCAAAAAAATAAAATAAAGGTATTCATATCAGATTATTAAAATACATAGATTAAAAGTTAAATGCTTCCATCAGTCATGAAATTTATGAATAGAGATTTACTTTAAAAAAAAATATATATATATATATTTGAATGCTTAAATAATAAAATAATATTAAAGAGATGCAGATCATTGAACACTTTTCCCCTCTTAATAAAAGCCACCAATCATGAATGAAATTTATCTACTGTAAATGAGCATAATTCTATTTTAATTTTTCACATGTTATTTAAGATACTTTTTTTGTGATTATTTGTTATTGACAGATTTAAAAATAAGACTGTGATGGAAAAAAGAATCTTCATTGTCTTTGAGCAAGTAAATTAATTTATACAATTTTTATTCCTAGATATGTTTAATATATCCTTAACAATGTTCATCAGAACTATATGTTCCTTAAAATCTCCCAAAACAATCAAACCTTCCAACTCCTCCAACAGTTGAACTTAAATCTTCATCTAGATTTGCCTCAGAGTTTTTTATTACTCAACTAGACTGTTTCAACTTAGCATTCTTGAATTTAATTTAGAAACTCATGATTCTCCCAACCTCAGTTTTCTCCTTTCTTCTTGAATTTAGGAAACTGAAACAAATTCAGTCCATTATATTCACAGCTAAGGATTACCTCTTCCATGAAGATAAAAAAGGAAAAGGAGCATACAGTTTCCCTACAGACTGAGTAAGTTACTGAGACAGAAATATAACTTAGTATACTTTAAAGGTGTGGGCATCACTTATTGCTAACTTCACTGCCCTTTTCCTTTGAATCAACCTCCAGCTTCTAATTACATCTAGATACTATGGATACATTATTAAATGTCCTCTTTTCCTCTTAAAAACTAGTGTTATATACTTTTATTGGTAATAGGATCTTCCAAATTTAAATTATACAAATTTATAACAGAGCCTGTTTAGATTTATAACAGAGACACCAAAAAATAGCTAAGAATAATAAATTCGCCTGGAAGCAGGATAGAGACTCTGAATTAATTAATATGTGTTAAGGACTGTGTATTCTGTGATCTCACCACACCCAATGCTGTGGTTCTACTCCTGATTACCTGCTGGACTGAGCACCCTATCTCAGTAACCTTACGCTACTATCCTGACTGAATGCTGGATGATTTTGTTTTCCAAGTACTAATTTCCCAATTTTCGTATATTCAGCTTGACTTCGCCACAGAATGATTGCACTTTGTTCTAATGTCACACCCCCCAGGGCGAGGTGCAGTAGCACCTTAATGTACTAAAAACCGTAAATGGCCTTCATAGGCTGCACAGATTGAACAGGTCAAAACTCAAAGTAGTTGTATACCTGAGGTGAATCAGAAATAAATAAATAAATAAATAATAAATCATTAAATAATATTCTCCCTTCTTTTCTTTTTTAAATTCTTTTTTTTTATTAAATAATTTTTTAATAATAATTAAAAATTAAATAATTTTTTTATTAAATAATTCTTTTTTTTTATTAAAATGATATACTCTACGTAATTTTCCTCGGTTGAAGTTCAAAAGAAAAATACTACATAAGCAAATAATACAGTTAAATTTCACCCTCCCCCCCAAAAAAAGAGGAAAGAGGGTGGTTTTTTAAAATTTTATTAAATGACAGCTATAATTCTGGAAGGATTTAACACTGCTCAAAATCTCATTTTAAAATAAAAAATAAGGACTTCTAAAATTTTATATGATTTTTACAATATAATTAACGTGTAGTAACATTTGCTAACAATAGAATAAACAGCATCTAATTTTCAAATGCTTTTGTATGATAATTAAGCAGCAAACCTGGTACAGAGAACTTCTTCATGCAAACTGCCTTGACATCTTTGACATTCTGTCCATAGACGAGCAAACTTTTCTTCAAATGAGTTCAGATATGATATCTGGAAAGATGGCAAATTTTAAAATAAAAGTTAGAGGAAAATATGAAGTTCAATCATGAATTTTTATACATACAGTGAAACATCAGTTCACAAATTCGTTCCTGAAGGCTGTTCATTGAACAAAACAATTTTCTCAACAGGAATTCATGTAAAATGGATTAGATTGTTTCTGGACTGCAGAAGACTGCTTCTTTAAACTTTACAACAATACTTTGTACACAGGTTTATAACCCAAATCAATGGAAATCATTAAATATAAAACAAAAAGGATAAACACAAGATTAAACAACAACAATAGACAAAACTTCATTCATTTTACTCAGGGTTCACACACATTTCTGTACACGGAAATTAAGTACTTTTAAGGACCATTAATGAAAAAAAAAGTAAGGACCTATGAGTGAATGGGAACTGAATAAATTCAATTAAAAATATTATATATGCCTGAACTTCCCTTTTGTATTAACATCCTAAAAATAAAATAGATCCGTAAGTAGGATGCATTATTATTAAACATAACTTAATTAACATAATTATTGTTAAGTCTGAGAATAAAATGTATGAAATTTATCAAGGAGCATTATATATATTTTACACTTATAAGAACTGAACATATTTGAAAGGAGATAAGTGACATTTTATTTACGTTTTACTAACAGTTAGTTTTATGTTGATTTTATTTTATATCTCATTTTGTCACATACTTGCTCAGTCTAGAGCTTTAGTAAGCAGATTTTATGTCAAGTAGCATAGGTTAAAATAAGAAGTAAAATCATAACATGATTCACAACAAAAGACTGGCTGTTGTCACTGCTGCTGCTTACCTAGAGACAGACCTGCTGATCAGAACAAACCTGAAAGGCCTGATGTAGGCACGGCTGGCAAGTTCTGAACGTTAGCTGGGCTCTGTCTGACGCCGTTAGTGTCTTAGCTTCGTGTAGAGTTCCAAGGGTTGTGACTCAGTTAACATACTTGAAGGTTCTAATAAGCCACTAAAGCACAAGAGGAGATAAGTTGTTTTGCATTATTTTAAGTCTCACTAGATGCGAAGAATAAGTTTTACATGAATTCTTACATTTTTGTGTTTTATCTTGAGACTACGGTAAGGGTTAATGAAAAGCAATAACTCGCTTTAATATGCAGAGATAATTTTTAAGGGCAAACAGTTAGTTATAAGTAATTAAATTAGGTATAAGATAACCTTAGTCATTATGGATTTACATAGTCACTATTAAATTTTATTTATTTATTTTTTAACAATATTTGTTAAAAAAGGTCCTATTAAAATCCCAATCTAATAAAATTTAACCATTTAAAATACATGTAATTTATGACATTGATTCTTAAACGATATTCAGATAATTACACATTAAAAGCCACAAAACATTTATGTTTTTTAGCAACAATACTCAACAAAAGCCTTCCCAGACATTTTGGCTAATTTATATTGATTTCCTTCTCTTCAAGCACCTTTTCTAACAATTAGAAATTTGTCTCAATACACAAAAAATATTCTCGATTTATTTGATCTGGTAAAAATTAAATAGTCCAAAACATGTGTTTTGGACTATTTAATTTTTACCAACAGATATGAAGCAAATTATCGCTTAAATAAGGTTTAAATAAGATTCTTATTTAAAAAGAACTTAAAAAATAAAGGCATGTTCTTATGCTAACAAAATCAATAACAGCTTATAGTGATGTAATGAAACAAGAAGAGTCAAATTCAAACTAAAAATATAGATTAGTGGTCAAATACTATACAATTTAATTTCATTTTAGGCTGGCTCAATAACTCTATCATCATAACAAACTCAAATGTCGGCAAATTTAATCCAAGACGAATAATTACAAATTATCAGAGCTGGCAGGAACTAATGCAGGGAGCAAATGGAGGTCAGAAACACACTCTTGTCTTACACTACAAAAATCTCAGTTTAAAAACTGTCTAAGTGATTTGCATTCTGGTGAGAAAATAGAAATGGGAAATTATGGTAAGGGTTGAAATTGTAAACAATTGGGTAATTTACATAATAATAACTGTACATATCTTTGAAGAATAAATTTGTTTTTCTTTATGTATTCAGTTTCTTTCTTCCACATTTCCTTTTCATTTTAGAATTTTTGGATTAATTAAAGATTTCTGATATTTTAAATAAACTAAATGCATTTAGAATGTATAGAAAAAGCTGCTAATTTTATTTCTTTAGTAATATGAACATTCAAAAGAAATATGAAATATATATGGTAAGCTTCAGTTAGAGAGCTAATGTGGCATAATTTTTAGAATTTAGAATAGACATTGGAAGCAGAATTTAGAAAGGCACCAGGCAGCAGAATTTAAGATCCACAGAGACTGCATCAGATGGGGAAATGCCTAGTGCCAGCCCTGTGTATGATGCATTAAGACATATTAGATGAATCTTTTAAATTATCAGTTCTCAATGTCTTTATTATATTTAGCTCTCGAGAAAACTGATGTATATTTTGAGAATTCTGAATATTCTGAGACAATTACACGAGGAAAACTCTTAACATGAAAATATTAAAAATACATTTTTAATTAATTACATAGCTAGTTTGCTTTTGCTATGAACTGTTTCGTAAATGGTGCTTTATAGCATTATACCTTGCTTATTTTCCACATATAATAAATGGCTGAAATGGAACTTTATAATATCACAGTGAAAAATAAAAATGCTTTATTTTAATCTTATCTCATAAATATAATTCAAAATATTATTATTATTTAAATGAAATTTATCAATGTTGCAATGTTCTAAAAAAATTGTTGAAAAATTCCTAGATCTCGGAATTAAAAATTTTCAATAGAAACAGATCTTAAAATCGTCAAAATTTTGATAAGTCACCAAATTTAAAACGGTTTAATAAAAGAATTCACATCCCAAAAAGCAAAAAGTTGTTAAGAACTCTTCATTAGAAAACATGAAATAATTTCGAAATGCTTATGTTTCACTTCCTGCTCAGAAACGCGAGTATCCCACCATTTATATTAGAAACAGGAACAAATTATAACCCATGAACCCATTCAAAAGATAACCATATTTGTCAGAAAATTGCCAAAAATATTGCTCCAAAATGTTAATTCACACTCAAAATGACAGTTGTAAAAACAGACAGAAATTTCAGATGATTCAAATTAAGGACCTTATGACGATTTTGGCCGAAATTAAGGACTTTTAAGGACCGTACCAACCCTGTTACTGTACCTGTAGGAAGGAGAAGGGTGGGTGTAAGTAGCCAGTGATGTGGAAAATGTTATTGTTTGAATGAGAAGTAAAAAATATATTCAAAATTTCATTCACCATTAGACTTTTATTTTCAGGAGGCACATTATTTTAACTTTTAACTAACCGACAGGAAGTCTTTTCTGTAAGTGCTACTTTATGACTCACTGGGCCTCTGTTTCACTCAGGATTAGTTGTAGTTGCCTAGATTTTAAAATGTTTCTGAAGTGAGACATGGCATTTTCATTGAAAATGCTTATGCTCTAACTTTTTAATGTGTTATCAGGGTGAAAATTTTAAGTGAAAACTACATCTCACTACAACCACAATTGTCGGGACGATGCGTCTGAATAAGCGTTGTTGGGGTCATTTTGACCTCTTTTTCCAATTTTCCGCATTTTTTTTTAACATACAGCTGAGCTTCGAAGCTGATATTTTTTTACTTTTTCTAAAATGTTTCCAAGTATACTATGCCAATTTTTCATATTTCTACGTTAATTATTTAAATAATAATCGCAGATATACCTAAAACAGCCAACTGGGGTCATTTTGACCCTCATAAGAAAAACGACATATTTTTTAAGCGAATGTCCGTTTTTGAATTCCCGATGCCACGATTTCGTTTTCTGCGCATTGGGAAACACGCAGCTCTTATCGCGATGACTCAGGAAAGAAAAATAAAATCCAGAACGGAGCATATTCTCTCTCCATTGCAATGCCGACAGGAAGAGGATTGAGTACACAAGAATGCCTTCTGAAACCTGGTACAAGCTAATGGAAAACTGTTATTTATGCTATAATCCTGGACCAGAAATAACCGTTGATGAACAATTGTTGCCTTGTAAATCAAGATGTAGATTTATGCAGTACATGGCGAATAAACCGGATAAGTTTGGCATGAAATTCTTGGCTAGCAACTGCTGTAAAATCCAAATATGTTTTAAATGGGTATCCTTATCTGCGGCAAGGATGAAGAACGACCGACTAATTTACAACTTGGGGAAAGACTAGTTCTCAAATTACTGCAACCACATCTAAACTCCGGACTCAACTGTCACAACTGACAATTTTTTTTACTTCTGAGAAACTTGCAGATGAACTTTCTGCGAAAAAAACCACAGTTGTCGGGACGATGAGTCTGAATAAGCGAGAATCACCACGCTATTGCTCATGACACTTCTTTGGCACGATATTCATATTTTGCACTGAAAAATGGAGACAAAACACTCACAATATATAGGTGCAAGAGCAAAAGGAATGTCATGATTCTGAGCACGATGCACAGTAATGTCTTTGTTGACAACAGCATAAAGAAAAAAACCGAACACTGTCACTTACTACAATAGTACAAAATGTGGCGTTGATGTCGCAGATCAGATGCTGAAGAAATATAGTACAAGTAGTGGAAGTCGCAGATGGCCTGTACATGTTTTTTACAACGTCCTTGACATTGCTGCACTCAATGCTTGGATTTTATTCAAAGAATCCTTGGGCACCTCTATTTCCCGTCCAGAATTTATTCTTGCACTCGTGGAAGAACTACGAGTTGGTGCACTACGATGCCCTCCAATTGCTCAAATACAGACACTTAAACGAAAGAAATGTGCATTTCAAAGTTGCAAGGGACAAAACAAGACTGTTGTCAGCTGTGAGGAATGCCAGAAACCAATTTTTGGTAAATGTGTTGCTGTCACTGTCAAGCGTTCATATTGTATCACCTGCGGTAATGTATAACAAACTTTGGAAAACATT